TGATAGATGGGCCAGCAGACATTTTGTCAATAGTAATCTGCCACATACAAAAGGCCCTGCAATTTTTCTGAACCACCAAGCAACCGTAGCGGCTCCTCAGCGATTATTTCTGAGAAAAGCAGTCAAAGTCACGGTTCAAACCGTGAGCAGCTCGCACGCTAAAAATAGATTTGAGGCTGTTGCTCAGTGGGACAGCACAAGCAAGAGGACTGTGTTCCATTCTGTGCAGCTATTAGTGCTTGTATCAGTCCACCTAATGACTAACTAGTAAGCTAGCAATGATTAATCCTTATTCTCTTTTCTAGAATTTTACTGTATTATTGGTACTACTGAATTATCTTTCAAGTAATTACACATCTCCTGTTAGACCAGTCTGTCTGAATATCTGTTTGGTTTTTTGGTTATTTATTATCTGGTACACTGTTTCTCTCTTATGGCCCTGGACTCACAATGTAAATTAATCATCTGTTCAGCATAAATACAATTGTTTTATCCTCATGAAGGGCTTGGAAATTAGGTGTTAAGTTTTGCCAGGTGTGTTGCAGCAGGTACAAACACTACAATACGCAATACAAGAGTACTAGGACTGGAAATATTGGTCTAGTATACTTCAGATATCTGACTAAGACTAGGGGTCAATATTACATTTTTATGGTTGGGTAGGTTACAGCATGGAGAGTGTAATTAACATTTAAATCCCCATCAGAAATATCACAGTATTGTCTCAGTTGGCAGTAATTAATTCTGCAGTTAACGGTTTTTACAGCTTTGGTCTTTTATTCGCCCCATTACTCTCATCTCCGATAACTTCGACTCTTGCATTGCGTGATATATCAAAGGGGAAGCGTTACGTTTATGTCTACCGACAACACAGAGGGGAAGGGATGAGGCACATCTTTCAAAGCTGCATATTTCTGCCAGATATGAAGAGGCTATGCTTAGTGAGGAAGAAATGAAAATATGAATGCAAATAGGGCAAGAAAACCCTCCATGCTAGAACATGAGCTGCGAGCTCTACTGGGTGAGCAACTGATAAACATGTGGATTAGTTCCAGAATCCTTTACATCATAAACAACTCTGGCTTTGAAGCTTTGATGGCAAATATGCACCGCTCTTACAAGCTGTGGATGTACACTGTATGCACAAGTGCTTTCCTGCCATGTCTGTTAATGAGCAATCTCTCACACTTCGGGGGGCAACCCTTTATAAAATTTTTAAAAATCTATAGTAACAGGACTACAGTATACTATAACTACAGGAATCAAAAAGTGAGTTCTACAATACTGCATAATACTTAGATAGGTTAGTATTCCCACAGCACTATTTTATAGTAATATATATATTCTACCAGGGTTCGGCAACCCAAATGTTAGAAAGAGCCATTTTGTCAAGTTCCAACAAAAAATAAACCACATGGGAGCCACGTTCCATTTTATTGAAGTAACGTTTCACCATCTCGGCTGTAAATATGTCTCAGTATGTGCTAATGTCCTAGTATAGGCTAAAAATATAAACCAAAACGCTGACTTACTTTGCTTCTGCAGGAAGCTTTTCCTCAAGTTCCTTGTAAAATGTCTCTCAACGTTCGACTTTTTATGAAGCTGAAGTCAGCTTCTCATTCACCAGCTTCTTGTTCGAGTTTTCCCGTTCCACCTTAAATTGTGCCTCAGGCGCCAGAATGTAGCTAACTATGTAGCTGACCGCTGCACCAGTTAAGGTGGAACGTTAACATTCGAACAAGAAGCTGGTGAATGAGAAGCTGACTTCAGTCTCGCGACTTTTTAGTGTTTGACAGTTTCTTGTTGCATGTTAAACGTCTCAGGAAACCAGCTGGAGTGCTTATAAATGCAAATAAGTCCATTATTCTCCAAATTATTGATGTTTGTCTTAAAGCTTTCTCTTTGCCGTTTCGTTAGCTACTAGCTAGGTGAGACTGTTGTCTGTGTCGCCGTGTGACCAGCACTCTGAGCGCCGATCTTTAGGGTGAAAGGGTGAATAAACAGTTATACATTAACTCCAGCGTTTAGGAACATTTGTTGTTAAAACTGTGTTATAACGGTGTGTTAGAACGATCTGCAGAGCTTTATTGTACTGCAAAGGAGGATTATTTTAATTTTACCTAAAAATCTAATTCTGGGCAGTAAAAGAGCCGCATATGGCTCTGGAGCCGAGTGTTGCCGACCCCTGTACTATACTATATAATGATATACTAAGTACATACTATAATCTATTATAGAGTAAATAGTATAATAAATTACAGCAATTATCTGAATTCATTATAAGATTATTATAGAAATCCTGTAGTATTACTGTAGATGATTTTCATAAGGGAATGTCCAAAGGTGGGTAGTTAGTTACATTTACATGGTTACATGTACTTTAGTAAAATTCTCATGGATTTGTACTTCTCCCATTATGCTTCTCTGGGTTTGTAGTCTGTTGAATGCAGCACTTGGACTGCTTTGCTTTTGTTGACATCTTATTTTGGAGTTTTAGCATTTTGTTTCAGGCCACAAAGGTTCCAAAAGTATAGCACCTAACAAGCTTCAGTTCCTGTGCTGACAGATGCTGGATGTACCAAGAAGAATCACCACAGTTCTGAAGAGTACGCAGTATAAGTAGTTCTTTGACCTGGTCACACCTACACAAGTTTTTTCTAGATTATTTCTACAACAACTTAAGTCATTATTTCATTCAACAACAGCTTTACTTGAATATGGGCTTAGGGAACTCTACCCATCTCTCCAAATGTCTAACAATGTCACTGGGGCATGCTCTATAACCTGTGCCAATGCAGTGTGATCTTTGACAAAACGGTTAGCCTGACAGCCAAAAAAACAAAGTCATCCAGTTCAGGGGTGCAGTGATCCAGAGAGGCCCATCTCATATTAATATAAATGATTTTGATGCTAGTTGTACAGTATAACATGGGATATTAATAGGGTATCGATAACAAAGGCATTAGTTATCTACATGCATGAGTTTTTTTTTTTAGAGATTATATTCAGCCAAACTGTAACCTTGTTTTGAACGGCTGTACACAGTCACAGATGTCCTTCATTATGAGCTGAACATCTCCCACTGACACACTGAAGTCTCCACACGCCCCCTCATAATCTCAGCGTCGGAGGGCAGCCTGACGAGGGAGTGTGTGCGGCCGCCGACAGATGACATGTTAACAGAATCATTTCACGCTTCAGCGCGCACACACACACACTGATTTATTCACACTCCGCCCTGCTAAAGGTCCCTATTCTACTGATTTATGTGTCCCAGCCCATATATCTATTTTCATTTCAGTAAGAATGAAGAAAAGAGAAAGAGGAAAGAAGGGAGAGGGAGAGTAGCAAGTAGCATATCACCTTAAACAATGTTATGATGGTCTGAAGACTATTCATGGCTATAAAATCAATGCAATACAAATCTTACACTGATGACCAGCAGCGAATGGTATCGTATAATCATATCTTCTTCCTCTGAAGGAAATTATTTGATTACTGAATACTTCGATACTGAAAGCATACATCTACAGTTTAGATACAAACAGACTTTAGCCCATTAAACTCTAGGATTATTATTCATTTATTAATATTATGACTTCTAATTCAGTAACTACTATGAATTACTTGGTCTCTACTATAAATTATTCATTATGTACTACGAAATATTCATAACTATGTATTACTCTGTAACCACTATGAATTATTCAGTAATCACTATGAATTAGTCAGTAACTACTATGAATTTTTCAACAACTTACAAATTATTCAGTCACTACCATGAATCAGTCATGAGTTCAGCAAATACAATGAATTGCTCGGTAACGTCTACGATTTACTTAGTAATTATGAGTAATGAGTTCTTAGATAACTACTATGAAATATTCAGTAACTACTATGAGACTAAAATGTAAGTTATGAAAGGACGGAACTGAAGTGTGAATCCACATATGTATATTCTGCACTCATGTTGCAGATTTCATAGTGTATGCGGACTAAATCAGAACACACACAGACATAACACAGTGATTAGCTCATCAGTGCTGGGTACACTGAAATCTGTGCTATTCAGGCAAACCAAGGCCACCAGGACATCTGCTGCAACATCAGCGATTTAATGAAGAATTCTTTTTAGAACTGCTATAGTGTCCTTAATGCTGGGCAGCGCACATGTTTTTTACTGTTCTTCAGACCTAAGGCCTGTGTAACGTTAGCAACACACTAGCCGCTAACAGCCTACCTCTCCTGTGGGCTTGGTGAGGGGCAGATAACATTGTGCTGGGAGCCAGAGTGTCAGCCTCATCTCAATGAGAAAGGAGAAGGCTAATCACACATGCAAATTGCAATCAGAGGGCACAGCCACACTGCATTGTGGGAGATAATGGTGTGATTGTACTGATGACAGAAGGTCAAACGCTTCCACCATCAAAGCACTCAAATAATCGTTAATCAGAATACCATGTCGGGACAGATTACCTGATTATGTTGGGAAAAAAGCGTAAAAATGTCAAGCTGAATGTACTTCATTGAGATTTAATCACGGGATGCAAAAGTGGAATTTTGACAAGGAAAACCTTCAGTGTGGCAAAGAAGACAGCTAAGAAAAATCCAACACAGTGAAATCTCCTTTGGAGCCGAACGAGACATTTGAATAGCTTTCTTCAAAACACATTGTTCCTCGTTATTATGAACAAGAACAGCTTTTATGATATCAATGGAGCATTTTTGTGATAGACAGCAGTGTTTCCCTCTCAGCACAGTGGAATCCTCTGCTCTCCTCAGGGTGCATTATTCTTCTCAAAGCAGAGAGGGCAAGCTTGAGGAGAAGAGGCCTGTCTATCTTCCTTTCTTTTCTCTCTCTCTCTCTGCTAAAATCTACACAGCTTTCAATCTACCACACTCTCTCGCTCTTTTTCTATTCCTGTATTCTCCTCAGTGTCCCCCTCTACACTTTTCTCTCTGTCTTTAGAGTGTGCATGTGGTGCCCTCTGGTGTCTCACCGTGGTATTTTGAACAGAGCTTTTACAGGATGCATCTCAGCGAGCGGTGGATCTCCATCAGCCAGCTCTATAGCAGTGATACCCAGAGACCACACATCACAGCGGGCGTCATATGAGTAGTCAAACTGCTGCTCACACGCTATCACCTGCAGACAAGCACAGAGACACATAGAACAGTTCCATAAACAGACCTCCATTCATATCCTCAGAGTTTATATCTCAGTATAGCACTATGGTGAACTATAGCTGTCCTAAGTACTCAGCCTTAGTATACACAATGCATATTAATATAATACAATATTTATTGTGTACTTGGTTCATTGTGAAGTCTAATCCAGGCTTTACCACACTGAGATGATTTTACTTGACATAAGAAATACAAGATATATGTAAAATCATTACTGTTGGCATATTAACTGTGCTGTTTTTTTCCTCATGCAGGGTTTATGCCACTCTCCAGCGTGACCAATCATCAAACAGTAGAGCAGCTCCTTCAGACTGAATTCTAATTGGCCTGGAGGGTGAACCCCCTCTAGCCCAATCATCTCGCTTCAATTCAGAATAACACAAGACGGGGAAAACTGGCTCTCAGCTATTAACCTTCACATGACCTCCAACACACTCAAACACAGGAGACACACTTAAGAGTGTGCACACACATGCATGCACAGATACACACACACATTTTGGCCCTGTGTAATCGGCATCACTGACTCTGTTCTATGACTGTAATACACAGGAACAGCAATATAAGCATAATATATAAGCCTTTTAGAACAAAAATGGCTATGGATGCCCAAAGCAGACCTAGGTCTCAAACATATACAAAGAACAGCATGTTAGGTTACATACACACCAAGGATATTTATACTATAACTGAAAAAAAAAACAAACATGCATACATATATGCTATTTTTCCAAAAAAGAAAGAAAAAAAGGGAATTGTTGACTTTTTACAAATAGTTAGCCTAGAGAAAGGTGTTGGCTGTGTAACCACTGTGTTCAATTTAGGTTTGCTAACTACTTTGCTCTAAAATCTGATCATCTGAACATTTGATCTATATTGCCAATTTGCTATAGTGAGATAACCAAACTGGCCAGCTAGTGACCAAATGAAAGCTGAACAAAGTTGATACGTTACATAAAACATAACCAATACAGTTAAAATGCTGCAAACAAGTAAATGTCACATATCACATATTTTGCACTCAGCTCAGAATATATATATATATATATATATATATATATATATATATATATATATAAATCAGAGCATTTCACTGCATTGTCTTCATGTGCTTTTGGCTTTGTACATTTTGCTGCTGATGTCTATCCTCACATGATTCACGTATGAGGTGGGATTCATCGTTTAACAAGACAAAAACTAATGCACACTGTAGGCTGTCAACCAGGCCCAGATTCATATTTGCCTGGCACTGAATTTAAACAGGCTATCCCACTCTATAAAATCCATTAACTAACATATAGGGCTGTACCATTCAAGGATGGGGCTGCAAGTTGACCTCTCTACATAAATACAAAAAAATTAGTAGTTAGTAAATTAGTAAAATTAGTTTTGTCATTAATAGTTGTGTTCTTGTGTTTATGTGTGTAAATTAAATGTGGGTCAGCTGCAGTGAGGCATTTTCATGAATGCCATGTTGTAGGCCCATATTAACTGGCCCAAAACCCTACCTGCCCACCTGCAATTTTCTTGACACTCCCCACAACCCAGTCCAGCACTGCATCAATGTATTTCATTCAAAATCCAAAAATGATTCAGACTAGAGTTGAGTGACATGGACAAAACGTAATATCATCATACTTCAAGTAGTTTATAAGATACACAGTCACAATGATTATTTCTTCTAAAATCTGTTGGAACAGACAAATAAGTTCAACATTCAAAAATACTGTCAAAAGCTACAAATCCAATTATTTGTATTTAACATTTTACATACTGTACTGCACTAAATGCAATTAAATAGGACTAATTATGTGGACGTTGTAATACAACATGCAGTTGGAAAGTGTTTTTAAGTACTGGCGATATTTATGATATACTCAGAAAAGCTTAATGTGACATACTGTTATGTAATTTATTACAATAATGATACATATTCTTATGTTGCCCAGCCCTAATTCAGACCTTGCTGCATTAAGCCATAGACTTATCTAATGCTGACAATGGCAGGGAGCATAAAAAGTTCATCAGGAAATAGATTTTATTATGGATATTGCTATTGCTATATTGTAATTTCAGTGTGGAAAATGTGTGTATATGCAAACAGAAGAGATACAGCACAGCAGAGAGAGAGGGAGGGAGAGAGAGAGAGAGTGAGAGAGAGGGAGAAAGTGAAAGAGAGGGAGAGAGAGAGAGAGGGAGAGAGAAAGAAAGAGAGAGAGAGAGAGGGAGAAAGGGAGAGAGACAGAATGCAAGAGGCAGAGAGGGAAAGAGAGGGAGGGAGAGAGAGAGTGAGAGAGAGAGATACAAACCTCAGGAGCCATCCAAAAAGGCGTTCCCACCGAAGTGTTTCTGCGCAAGCGTGCGCTTGTCAGCTGAGCCGACACACCTGGAACAGACACAGTCCACAACAAGGCTCATATTGAAAATGAGATTCGACAGGAACGACGTGCCATAAATTTAAATCATCACCTCTTTTTCCCCCACCTCTATTTAACATTTACATAAACTAACAACATGCAGTAAAGGCAAATAATGAACTAAATTACATCGGCTGTTGTCACAGTTACTAATAACTTTTATGAAAGAATTAATATCATAAACAGCTACACAGATATTTGTATCTTTTAAAAGGTGGAACATAATTTGCCATGGCACCAGGTCACGGCCCATTGAACCAGCAATCATCATCATCATCATCATCATCATCATCATCGCCACTGTTTGTAATGAAATGGAGCAGCTTTGTCTCCCTGCAGGGTTCCACTTCCCTCCTCACACAAAGAGACAAACATGCCTCAGGCAAGTCAGAGTCATTTACCCCACATCCACCCCTCTCTACACACACACGGTCTATATGCTAAACGCAGAACACTGCTATTCAAATTAGCCATAACAGTTTAACAGTTTAACCTTGTGTCAGGGTTGGCACTGCACATGCAGTAGGCAGTACAAAACTCAAGAGATTTCAAAGTCTTTGTTTAATTATGTAACACTTAATTTGTTGCTAAGCAGCAGAGAATTTTACATTGGCTGTCCATAATCACTGTGCTGGTTAATACAGCATCTGTACAGCAGAACGCTCTGCAGGACTGCAGGGACTCCTATAGATGTTCTGTCAGCCTGTCTGGGTGAATAGTAACACTATGCCGGAGGCTCCATAGCTGTCAGCACACAGTGAAACAGACACAGCCATTACCAAAGTCCACCAGCTTGACTCCTCCATCTGTGGTGAGCAGGATGTTGTTCCCCTTGACGTCACGATGGATGATTCTGTTGTTGTGCAGATGCTGCAGGCCCTGGAAAGGAAGAGTGGAAATGTTTGGAAAAGTAGTACGGTTTCTGACCATGCATGATAAATAAATAATAATCCTTATTCCCTTTAACCATTTAATTTGATTTAATTTGATATTAAATTGCTCATATTCTGCATTTATCTTGTATATTATTTTGTTCCCTGATGTACACTTACAACATCTGTGCGGTTTTATGTAGCAAAAAAAGGCACCATTCAATTTTACTTCACTATTTTCCAAATTCTCTTGATCCCCTACAGTTAAATAAGTTGTTTTTGTTACTCTGCCTTTAAGATTGATATATGCAAATCATCTATGTTTTGATTGCCTGGAGGAAAATGTAGATGTAAGTTTGTTTGTTTTCATGACATCACAAAAACAATAAATTCAGAATAGACTGTTTTTGCAGCTTGGTTTCCAATGATTGGACTGGAGAGTGTACATTTTGAAACTTTAACAATGTTTACATGATAGGGGCCCTTAAATTATTTGGAAATTCTGTCAAAAGTGTGGATTCTAAAAAATTATGGAAAAAACATTCTTTACATCTCTGTCATGTATAAAAATCCAAAGGAATAAAACAAGTCAGAAATTTTACAAGAAGAAAGTTACAAGAGTGAGAAGTTGAAGTTTAAGAACACAGAATATTGCATTAAGTTGTGGTAGCCTCAAGGAGGTTTGATGGTTTTAAGGGTCATCATTAGAAGCTGTGAAGATTATTTGTGCACTGTAAAGGTCTTTGAGCTTACACAGGCCTTATTAAACCTGAAAGGTTTTGTGAGCTGCTGGGCCAGAGAACAGTTTCTTCTTGCTCTACAGCTGCCTCATAATGCTTTCTTCTTGCTCTACAGCAGCATCTGCCCTTCTAGCCTTTCCATTGTGATCCAAAATAAGCACTGTGCTCCTGGCAGACTGCTGAGCTAGCCCCCCTCCACTGTGCTGGTGTTAGCGGATTAGCTTAGTAGTGCGTGTGTGTGTGTGTGTTTATGTCTTACCAACAGTGCACCACAGAGGACGTAAGAGATGACAGGCTCCTCCAGACGTTTCCCCCTCATCAGCAAACCCTTTATCAGGTCTGTTACTGAACCCCCATTACACAGCTGAGAGAGGCAGACAGAGAGAGACTTCCTCATTCAGCTCCGCTTCATGATTTATAACACACACACACCTCAGACTCTTTCATGAAAAGTTTTACATCTGTTATATCTCCTCTGCAATCACAGACTATCAAGAAATACTTAATGTCCATTTAATCAGGTCCACGTACCATATAGGTGCATAATTTGTAGCCCCTCCTCCTCCTTATTATTATTATTATTATTATTATTATTATTATTGACAGTAATAAAAACAACAACAACAACAACAGCAACAATAATAATAATAATAATAATCATCATCATCATCATCGTCATCATCATCATCACAGAGTGGCTCAATGCTGCTGAAGATTTCAAACAGGTCAGTGTCAACAGCATCCTGTAGCCAGAATCTGACCACTGATGAAGGACAAGAGGATGATTAACACAAACTGTGCAGCAACAGATGAGCTACTGTCTCTGACTTTACATCTACAAGGTGGACCAACAAGTTAGGTTTTTCTAATTCAGTGGACAGAAGGTGGACATAGTGTTTAAAAACTCCAGCAGCACTGTGTCAGATCCACTCGCAACACACTCTAACACGCCACCACCATGTCAGCGTCACTGCAGTGCTGAGAACAGTTCACCGCCCAAATAATACCTGCTCTAAGGTGGTCCTGTGGGGTTCTGACCTTTGATGAACAGGGTAAAAGGAGGCTAACAAATTATGCAGAGAAACAGATGGCCTACAATCTGTAATCATAGCACTATACAGTGCACCAACTGCTATGTGGAAAAGATAAAATGTGCAAAAGTTTAGGCGCCCAGGTCAAATACATGTTTTGTTTATTTTCTAAGTGAAAATAAGTTGTTAAATCCTCTAGAGAGAACAGAGTATAAAACGTGTTTGCACAGGCTACATTTCATGTTTTATTTTTGTCCCAAAATGTTAGAGTACAGTACAGTGAACAAACAGCAAATACACAGTAACTGTATTTACAACGAAATGTAATTTGACCAGATCTTTTGGATACAACTGTAGGTGTAAATGCTTAATTTTTGGACAGAGGGACACTAACGTCTTTTTTGTAGTTTGTTCTAAACATTTGGGCAAAAAAAAAGAAAAAAATGATGACTCACTTCCAGCACCAGCCACAGCTGTCCTCCAGAGAGCTCATCAGCCTTGTAGAACATACCAAAAAACTTCACCACGTTAGGATGGTTGGAAAGAGTGCGCAGGATGTTGTATTCTGCTTCAATCTCTTCATCGACATCCTGCAGAGAGAGGCAAAAATGCACAATGAACCTTCATGCTCTTACATTGGGGTTTATATGCAAGTACGATTAAAATTATATTTGGCCAAGCTGCACAATGTATCTAATTATTTGCTAACAAATGGGAAAATTTAAATATTATTATATTTCAATATCAATATTGGAACTACAGCAAAAATCTAGAGCACTATTTTTTAGCTTAAGCATGTATTGACACATGTGTACTCACTACTGGTGACCACTACCCTTCTTTTAAACTTTCACAAACAAAAAGCATAGTGGATAACATCACTCTCCCACACACAAGAGAACAGGGTGCGATTCCATAACAATGCCTGAATAAATCAGTGGTCACCAACCCTGGACCAGGAGATAAGCTGTGTTCCATTCCACAGGGTCACTTGGCAGTACCACTATATTTCCAACATACTGAGCATGGGATGAGGGATAAGGAAACAGCAGCTGATAAAACACCTTCATTCAGAACATCCTGCAGCATCATAATCAAACATGAAGCAACACGCATCTTCAAGAGACATGTGATGACTGATAAACTTTGTTGCAACTTCCTTGTCTACTACTACCTGTGGAATTTTAAGTTCTTTTCCAATGGAACATTTTCACTCTCTATGGTTTGGAACCACCTTACGCACCTCTACTTTCCTGCAGAGTCCAGTTCCAACCACATTCTGCAACACCTGCTCCAGCTAATTAACTTCTTCTGAAGTTCTTGCTTGGCTGGATCAGATGCAGTAGTGTTAGGTAACAGTGATGCAGCATGTTAGATTCACGTTGGAAGAACACTCTGCAGAAAAGTGGATCTCCAGAGGGCTGGTGACCAGTGGTATATATAAAGCAAACCACCAGTGGTGCTACAGTAAGAGTCCTTGGGAAAGGATTCTCAGGTTTCCATTCATTGTTATGAATTGGTTTATGTAAGAGTGCTTGCTAAATAATGCAAAATATTAATGAAAAATAAGGTAAAAAATTCACAATAAAAATTCTCTGGAAAAATGTATCTGATGTATCTGTGTTATGGCTATTTCAAATTTATCAATGACTCATTTTAAACTTATACACACTACTCTTCATATGTGGATTTATTTCATACCATTTTGTATTTTTGACAAAATAAGGGTGGGTGGAAAGTGGAAAAGGGGGTGAAACATGACCTTATTGGTTATTATTTTTGTTCCCCACCAGCTGTTGAAGGTCAATATAATCAAACATGAGAAGATGTTTTAAAAGCAGGTAAAATCATTACATATTGATTCTGAAGATTACAGGAAAACCAATTTTTTTTTGTCTTCTAAATGGTTTGAAATTAACCTGCTGCATATGGGCAGAGACATGAACTAACAAAAAACAAAAAACAAAAAAAAAACGTAAAAAGGTCCACTTTGATTTCAGATTGATTTTAAATGCAAAAAACAGAAATATTAGAAGAAACTGATATCAGTTTTGGCTATAATAAGGTGTTGGTTATTGCATTGGCCCTGAAACTTTCTTTATCGGTGCATCCCTAATATTTGGTTTGGATTGTGAACAACCTGACAAATGTAAATTCACTTATAACTAAATTACTATCAAACTATTAAACTAATAATTCTTTAGTTTTTCTATTTCAAAATGAAACTGACATCATAAATATTATGAATTACATCCAACTAAACTATACCTCTCTATACATTGGGTTATGAACATGAATGTGTGGCTAATTGACTAGGCAGTATGTATGAAAGGAGGACTAAATGAGTGTGAGTGACTGAATCAGAGGTGCAATCAATGAGAGCAGTGTTTAGCAGATGTGGCTTCAGCCCCCTTGCACTGCAGTTATTGGGGTTTGGACAGAGCTATTGTAGTGCTGACACACATCACAGACACCCTCTAAACTCTTTACAGCACCTCAGCAGGGAACGAGAACGAGAGAAAGAAAGATTGACAAGCGCAAGACTAAGTCAGCAGCATGAAGGTAGTGAATAAATGGCATGGAGACGAAGAACTCAGCAAGCAAAAAATGGCAGAATGGAAATAGAGCATCTACTTACTCTGTTTGTGTGACTGGAATTCTGAGATAAGCCAGACAGAGCAGAGCAAAAAGGAAACAAAGCATCTGAGACTTTGTTTTCTGCCTTGGCTCTTCTATTGGAGACTTCGGCAGTGATTGCAAAGGCCTTAAATCTGGAGTGCTTGAAGTCTGAGTTCATTTTTCTGCTCAAAGCAGCATGATTATCATTTGCGAAGCATAATAACTCACAATTACTCACTAAGTGAGTGTTAATAAAGCAGTTCTTTGGCTTCCCTGATCTGCAAAAGTGAGTAAGACTTAGGGCAATAACAATCAAAGCACATGGATATCACAGTTTCCATGTCTTTACAGAAAGAAATGGACGAAGCAATTGTGGCTGTTCCCAAAATCTATCCAGTCTAACAAAGACTCACATTAATGGGATCCAGGATTTTCACAGCTGCTTGACTTCCATCCTTCTTGTTGATGACTCTGTACACCTTGCCATAGGTTCCCTTTCCGATGGTCTCCACAATGTCCCAGTCATCGGAGGGGTCAGCCAGTGACTCCAGCCCAATCATGCTTGACTTGTAGGGATACAGTCCATACAGTGACCTCCTGAATACAGCACACATACAAAAATCACACCACAAGTCCAGTCTGAGTACCACTCACTTTTCACACCATGCTGTTCACAGCCGAGTCATTTTCTTTTGGAACATCAAATCCAGCCAGAACATAACATGCTGCAAGCTTTCAGACAGGCTCTATGAAATGAACCATGTGTCTCCGAAACAGTAACTTATTTCAGTATATATTTCATCTCTTCACATAATATTAAAGATGTTCAAATAATGTGGGGAAAAAAAACAATAAGAAAATGGAGTTACAAGCTTGTCCCCTATCAGTAATAATATGCATCTGTAAATTAAATACACAAAAAAACAGTCTAATGCTATGGCTGCACATTACACTGTAAAATAAATCAGTGTGAAATTACAGTAATTTACTGGCAGTAATGTTGGAGATTGATGGAGAATGTGTTGTAAATGGTTTCATATAGAGTCTTTTTGAAAATGGTTCTATATAACACCAAAAAGGGTTATTCTATAATATTGTTACAATGTCAATAGTTGTAACAACAGAACTCTTTTTGGAGCTACATATAACCAAATACAACATATTCTCCACCTGAAAAATCATTTCACCATACAAAGCATCATTTAAGCATGAAATGGTTCTATGTAGAACTCATGGTTCTAAATAGAACCACTGCCTTTACTAAAGAAACCTTGAAGAATCATCTTTTTAAAGAGTGTAGTTAACTGAACAACAGAAAGGCATCATGGTTGGAATACTAAAACATGTAAAATACATTCAAATGTGTCTTTACGGTTGAAATAATGTTTAAAAAAATGTGAAATTAACCATAGAAAAAAAAAACAAATACAAGCCAAATTAACAAACCAAAATAACAAAACTACGAAGAATGCTGAGAAGCTCCATCCTCATCACTACAATACTCAGAGACAGGCTGCATTGCAAATAACAGCTAATTACTGTAGAATCCAACATTTTAACTTCTGGTTTCTCCCCGAATGAACCACTCTTTACATCCGTCTGCAGTATTTAAGGGATACAGCAGATTACTGCAGGGTTTCTGCCACAAATTTACATCAGTTCTTTAGTCTATGAATCCACTCACACAACCTCACTATTATGTAATATCATATGACTAGCGATAATGCGCATGCACTAACCTACTCTCTTCCCCTCTCTTTCTCCTTCTGTATAAAGACTGTGAGAGGACATGAAACACTGAGCCAGAGGCTGATGTCAACTTAGCCGCAGGCAGGAGCATATGGCTGATGATGACTGCTGATGAAGCTCTGCGGCTCTGTCTGCCTCCCTCTGATTGCCAACAGAGACACTTAACAGGCTTAAATCCACAGCAAAACGCAAGCAGTACACAAACAACATACAGGTACTCACATGGAGAACAAGATCTTGCTTTGACTCATCACTTTCAATGACAAAACACTCAAAAAGAAAAAAAAATCTCAGGTGATCATAGCAGGCAAAAAAGCAAAATAAAGTTTATCTCGCAGGAGTGAAGAGCCAGTAAGGAGCAGAGACCTAGTGAAGACACTGAGTGGACACACAGAGCACTTTCCTGTCTCTGAGCGCTAAGAAGTCTGCAATCTGCTCAACACTATTGGATTTAGGGGAGATTAACTCTGCGATGTTGCGGGATCTGAGCGCACCATTTATCATAGCCTGCAGGATGTACAAAACTTTTCCCTCACGATGCTGCCTCGTAACCGGCACTTCAGAGCCACATCACTGCATTGAGCACAGAGACAGCCTGTGGCAGGGCCTATAGGGACTGGGGCCTGTCCTGTCGCCAAGGTAATGATTAACAGAGCGCACTAAATGCCAAGTGGGACAGGGCCTCCACCAGAAGAGGGTCAGCTTGGGTGCAGGAATTAGTGTCGCATGACTTGAAATGGTAAAAAAAAGAAAATCTTTCAAATCACAGCAGGGGCATAGTGACTGGGTCCCCCATGTCATGATTGCACCCTGTATGTTAATAAGTGAATGAATGAGTTAATTTATTTATTTAATTTCCCCAGAGCCCTTAAGATCCTAGTAACTTAATGGTCAACAACAACATATTTGAAGCATGTGACACAGGCTAGCCTCATTATGCCCCCAGGATCTGGTCAAAAGTTTTATTCAGTTACATTTTTCTGATACATTTTCAGTTAATATTTTAAAAGGCCCATATGACTGAAAAATAATTTCCTCTTTTTATGGAAGAAAAGAGTTTGATGTAAATGTGGAAACACTGATACATAATGCAAAAAGAGCCTGTTTGATGTTGCTTTTATAATGTCATGAAAACAAAATTATTTCTATCAGTTTGCAGCAGTGAAAGCACCACATTCACACAGAAGTTAAGAATGTTTCTGAATAAGGCCTAATACAGAGTAGCCAATCAGAACAGAGGACATTTACATATAGCAGTCTTAAAGACAATAACAAAAACTGCTGGTTTGGAAAAATAATCATGACTCTTTGTGGTTTATAATAAACCAATAATAATACACACACACACACACACACACACACACACACACACACACACACACACGTTACAACTGGACCTCAGAGGCGAGAGGGGAAAAAAACTGATGCAACCATAACTTCACTATGAAATGATAACACAGCCCTTTGTGTACTTTCAGCTGAAGCTTTAACACAGCCAGATGCTAAGTTGGCCTAGGAAATGTTAGGTAGCTGCAAAGCCCTAACTGACAGCTAACAGTGCTAAATAAGCAACGTGCTACTAGAACAGCCAATTTGAACAGCTTTATTTTGCGAAAGCTTTATTTTGCAAAGCTGTTTCTCGGTATCAGATTAAAATCATTAGCAATGTAGGCTTATAAACAGTAGCAGGGGTCTAGCCAAGGAGTGGCCACTGCCAACTGTGTGCTTTTCTCTCCAATATCACTGAATCCTCTGAATTACAAGGTCATTAACGAGTCAAAATATGAATATTACATATGAGCACTGAATTGACATCATTAGACTGGCAGCCTCTTTAAACAGTCATGCAAATCAGCATGTTTTACAAGTGTGGTAGCCCCACTAGCTGACCTGCACTCAGGTTACACTGCTCAACATGAACAGACTGAAAGTGGTTTTAATCTCTTTTAATATTCTTCTGGTCACCCTTAAAGGCTGACAAACCACAAATAGATACAACCACCCTAGCCATTGTTCCAATAACTTATCCTACCCATCAAGAGGTCCTACTGAGCATGCACATACACTATAAGGACAAAAGTATTGGGACACACCTCTCAATCATTGAATTCGGGTGTTTCATTTAGTCCTATTGTCACAGGTGTATAAAATCAAGCATGCTGTATTTGTGTTTTTTTGGGGTGCAGCTTTAGTTAGTGTGCTTTGTGTTGGGGGATGGTTTACCATCAGTCTAAAGCCTGTGGCTAGTGTTAACTTCCTCCATGATCTTACTGTCATGGTGTTTAATAACGGGCACTTGCAGTGTAGAATCATGGCCTCAGGAAGCAGACGATGCTGCATTCAATAATCAGCTTGTCATTACTCTGGCAGGCTACTTTACTGAAAAAAACAGATGACCGAATGCTGGTCAAAACTGTAACATTAGCCTGGTTTATTTTGCTTAAAGAAGCAGCTAACACTGGACATCTGCATAAGGCAAACACAGTTAAATGCACGTAAATAAATGTATACATGTATATAGAACAGTATTTTTGTTTTATTGTATGTCCTGCTCTGGATCACATGGATTTAACCAATGACACATTAGAAATGAAACAAGGAGTTTAACTAACAGTATTTTTACTGAATTACAAAAACAGGAACAAAATCAGTCTCAGCTATTTAAAAAAAAAATGTGATTAGCCAGTAATTTAAAAAAGTTATTTTAATAAGGCAGGCATAATATATGCGCAGAAGAACTTTATTAACTGCTGTTTCATTTTTTTTTTTTTTTCTTCAAGTAGTTTGGCATTCCAGTACACCATATGGCACACCTATATTCCAAATGTATTTATGAAATATATTTTTGCAATGTATAAAAATGGCCAAAATTTTTTGGTTAAATATATTTTTAAAACACCATTTTTATTTTTATCTGTTACTATATACTTTTTTATTTCAACTTTATGTAGTTTTAACAAAGGTTACAGATGTAACTAAATATACAATAACTGAATGAATAGTACTAACTTCCATGTTTTGCATTATATATCATTGTACATATGTGGTAAGACATTGCACACACAAAATGTATTTCAACTAAACAAAAACTGCATTTTCACAGTGTACCAATACCTACAGCACTTGATTTTGCCATGTTAAAGGTTCATTTGCTAATACTTAACATTAAGATACTGGAGTACAAATTCATTTCAAAAGGTACTTCAAGTAGTGAAGTGCATTGGACAGTATTTTGGCTATTTTCATACATTTTCAAATATATTTGATAAATATTTTTACATAGATTTATTTTTCTATGGTACATTTCTATATATATATCGTGCATTTTAAAATATATTTGGTTAAGATGGCAATATTTTCTGACATACATTTTAGTGTAAGGAATGTATTTCAGCATATATTGCAATGCATTTGAACTATATTTTAAGTATATATTTCCAAACATTTTTTTTTAAATGGGAAAAATACTATAGTTAACCTTGACACCCTATTTGTAAAAGTTCTGGCTACACCCATGAACAGTAATGTACGTTCATAAATATGCTACTCTCAACGATTAACTAAACTAACTTAGCCCACTTGAAAACGCAGGGTTGACCACTAGCGTTAATCTACACAGTCAAAACGCCATGTTACTTAAAACAAACATATTATGGGATAAGACGCTATAAAAGCTCCTTCTCAGCCAGATGAGGACAAGGTTGAGGTTGTGTCCTTTACAGGCTAAGAATATCGTGTGGACCACTGGACTAATGTGACTGATCCTAGATCACACAACACACTCAAGAAGAGCCGCATGAGACTCTGGTGACAATGATGCACATTTAACATTTCTCTCTCTTCTCTCA